TTACTGCCATTATAGAAGTATGTATTACATATATGATTGTGAGGGGTACAAATACTTTTTCTTTAATTTCACTCAAAACAGATGGGTATGCCAATTAAATTAATGTGAATATAATATTAGAAGTTACCAGTAAAAAGTCGTTTGCTTAATGAAAGCCGATATTTCTGAGATTGGAGGCAACAGGAATTTTGTCCACTCGTAGCCTCTAGATGTCAATCAGTATTTGCAGAGTGTTGTCGATGGCCGAAAAAGTGATGTGCTATAACTGGTTGCGACTCCAAAGAATATCTATTTTGGGTAATATTAAAACTGCTTCCCCATTATTAAGTCGATTGCTCCGGGCTACTGCATCTCAATTGTCTCATAGCCGTCAACCTAACCTATCTTGAATGCGGTGCGAAAGACTACCACAACTTGATGAACTATCCTATCTTTGTTATAACTCAACGCAGTCTTGGCGCGCTTGAGTTAGCATAGTTTGTTTGACAAAACTGAGTTAGTAAAAAGTTAGGATAGTTCATCGAGTTAAGATGAAAGTGCGAAAACTCCTTTCCCTCCTGTCACTTCACCTTTTAGCCATTGCGCAGTTGATTGTCAGACGATTTCGTGATGATTTCAACTATTGAAGCTTAGATATAACATTTTTACTACACAAGGTTGATAAGTCTCGCCGAATACTGATTTCGGATTATCTGAAGATGTATGTAAACGGTTTTTTGGATGGATTAAACTTGAAGCTGGTTTAGAACTAAACAGCTGAAAATCGACATTTTGAATTTTGTCTAATTTCTGCAAGCTCTTCGTAAAATATACGCCGGGTGCATCACCAAAAATTTTCCCATAATCAGTTGGCATTTGAAAAATTAATTAAATTGCACTATCGGAAATTAACTTTCCATCAGAATGACGATACCAGCCGATTAAAAGAGCCAATTCCCAGGTGGTTCATAATAAGTATTTCGTGCCTGTAAGCTTTTTTACCTTACCATAAGGCAAACGAACACGTAAGTCATTTAGCAGCTGTCAAAAGGTGTGATGGCGATGGAAGAAAGATTTAGCACGTCAGAAGTTGGAGAAAGTGCAAGGAAATGTGATTTGTTTACAAAAAAGCTTAATTTTAATGCTACACAGTATTTTCTTGTACTTTCGTGTAACTACATACATATGTATGTATGCATGTCTGTATGTATGCCCTTTTTGTCTCTAAATGCGCTCATAGTTCGTATCTAATATTTAATCGCTTCGACTAGCTGGTAATTACCCGCGCACGATGCAATTTTGTAAGTCAAAATATTTTCTGCCAAGATTGCCAGCAATGTGCTTGCCATTTTCCAATGCTTGACTTGCTATACTTACTTAAACATATTGTTGCTACATTTTCCGTAAGCGCAGGAATAAACAATGCAATGGCAATGCAGCCTGAAGATGATGGAGACGACGATGTCAGCGGCGACGACGAAAAGCCGCTTAATAATAAAATGAGGCTAAGAAAACTGGAATGCTGTGTATTAGATGTGTATGTTTGTGCGCATGCGCGAACTCATTGCGCTGCTCCAATTCTCTACACATTTTCCTTTAACTGTGCTTTTCGAAGCGCATTTGCTGCATTTGTTTTTTTTTTTTGTTCGTGTGACTATTTCTGCTGCCGGCCGCCGCTTGTAAACCTGTTACCGTTGTTAGCGGTGATATAATAATTTTTGTACATATGTATGTATGTACGAGTATATAATACTTTGAAATACATAATCATATACATGGTATATAGCATATGTATTCTAAGCACAAATATTTACGCACGTACATTATTTTATTTATAATCTACATATTTTCATTTTCCTTTTTCCTTCTATCTCTTGCAGTTCTGACGCCAGCGCGTTGAGCGAGTGAATGGCTGCAGCGCTGGCTCAGCCGGACAAGTGAATGTCCCCGTTCTCATTATAAGTAAATGCACACACGAGTGCAGTTAAGTGAAAAAGAAAAAAAATATATGTGCGAGTAAAAATAAATTGGTAAAAAAAAATATTTTAACCAGCATTTGCGAAGCTACTCATTCCTGCATTGGCTCTTACCGAATTGCCTCAAAACGAGCAGGAGAAACGTTGAACTTTTCAGCGAAAGGTGCCGCCGCCACCATCAAACTAACTGGGATTCAGTGCAATAATCATAAACAAAATTAGTGAGTGAATGGTGATCGCTGATCACTGAGCTGGTGACCTATAACGTGTGTGATAAAACGTCCGTAATTTACTTGTAAGGAGTAATTTGTGTAATAATTAGTTAAGCGAACGCAAGAGGCTGGATTGAACTAGAAAAAGGTCTATTTAAGAGTAAACACATTGCAAGCAAGCTTCAAAAAATGTCGTTAAAGGTAAGGTTTTAAGAATTGGTTTATATCACATTTCCATTAAATATTGCATACGAATATTTATGTTTTTTCTGTATATCCGTCAATACGGGACTTTAACCCGAAATAAACCTCCTGCCGTCCAGTAACGTATTTCGCAACAGTACTATCGTTAAGTATATAGCCGGTAGTCGAATACTCTTGAAATGTCTTGAAATAATCCAGAAAATTTTGCAAAATCCCCAAAAAATTACGAAACTTCAAAAAGTCCCAGAGAAAATCTTACGAAAAGTCCCGAGGAGTCCCGAAGAAATAAAAAAAGTGCCGTAAAAAGCCCCAAAGTTTCCAAACGTCTTAACATAGTCCCGAAAGTGCCGCAATATTCCAGAGATCCGAAACAGGAAAAATCTCGAAAAGCAAAACACGATAAACACCGAAGAGTCTTGAAAAAGGTGATGTAACACGAAGAATCCCGAAGTCTCGTAAAAAAGTCGCTGAAAAATAGTCAAAGTTCTCGAAATTCCGAAACAATCCCGAAATAACGAAAATTTAGGAAGAATATCCAAAATCACGAGGTTTATATCAAAGATCGGAGCGGGATATTGGGACCCGCAGGACCCACGGTAATGATTTCAAAATGGCGGTATCGGGAAGGTATTTAAACATTTTGCGGGCGGGAAGGGACCAAAATCCCTTCCCCACAATTTATAGGGGTTTGGCGCCTTCAGCAAAAATTTTTCCGAAAAAAAAATTATTTTTACTGGATGGATATTCTTCTACTGGAATCCGCAATAAAATTTATATTTTTTTTTAAAAAAACGCGTTGCTGTCAAATCTTGCTAGTTTCAATTAGAATGTCGAAAAATTGTAATTACATTCGGCATCTCTAATTTTTACCTACGATGAGAACTACGAAGGTACATAAAAAATGAAAGCTATCTAAATACATACATATTTACTAACGAATCATACCGATTTCAACAAGCGTATTGGTTAAAAATTTTATTAAAGATAGAAGCTGTACAGGCGAATTAATAATGGTAATAAAAATGATACATAAAAGTGTTTTAAAAAATGTTTGAAATTAATTTTTTATTAGTACCTGTTACATACTACGTATGTAGGTATGTATGTATTATTTTAATGTACCTGCCAGCGTGTTCTAAACTACAGTCATGACTTCATTAAAGTTTAAACTATCGTAATACAACGACAAAAATATTAAAAACATGCGAGTACACTAAAAATAGTAGGTAAATGAATCAATACCGCCAGCATGTTTATTTATGACACTCATAAAAGTAATTTATCGTAGGCAATATATCAAGAAAACTTTATAGTCAAAGTTATGGCAACATTCTGTTAACTAAGTAAATGTTTACATAATTTCTAATAGCATTCTGCAAGAGCGATCAATTTTATAGCACACTGTTGTTGTGCAAGTGAATAACCTGCAACTGTAGAGGCAGCAAGCAACAGGTCGCCGGTTAACAGGTACGCTACTCTACGTCAGGGTTGCCGTTCTGGGCTTTTCCTACCAAAATTGGTAGGCTTTTTTCTCGTTGGTAGGATGGTAGGACGCTTAAAATTTTGGTGGATTTCTTTGCTCATAAGACAGAAAACTTCTCTGGCTTGTTGTAAAGTGTCACTTTGTCGGCACTGTGAGTAGGCTTGCCATATTAATCGGAGAATATCAAAGTTTTTTAACCACAACTCGAAGAAATTAATGTCAAAACCGCAGTGCGCAGAGTTTGCAAATTAAAAAAAAAAAAAAAGTGGAGTAGGCACATCTTCATCTTTAGGTAGCATGCATGTATGTATGCAAATGAGCGATAAAAAAAATCTAAGACGCAATTTTATTTTCCCTACGATTTTTCACGTCATTTACTCCGAAGGCTTTATTAAAACTATAAACTGCGAATTTGGCCACTTTTTCGGCTTGTTCGTAATTTACTCGAAATTTGAGGGTGTAGAAGTCAAACGGACGGATTACCCAACTAAAATACATATCGGTAGGTGTATGTTATATGTATATAATAGCTATTATTCTAATCTTCTTGTTTACTGGATATCTCCAAAAAAAAAAAAAATAAATGTATTTAATGTTGTCCAACGTCGTTTTCTTGATTAAAAGAAATGGGAGGAAAGAAGCCATTTTAGTAGGTTTTTGAACCCGCTCTTGGTAGGAAGGAAAGTTTTTCAGTGGCAACCCTGCTCTACGTACGAGTACTCAATATCTTGATCGCAGTGTTCTTGTGCATTTTGATAATGATTTCATAAGGCAGCTAGCTATTTGTTTGTTTATGCATTTATTTACACATTGATTTCGTGTTATATATTTGAGGTGTGCTTAAGTGAATTGTTGGGTGAGGTCATTGAAAAATGGTAAGAAGCGCGTGGTGCATACATACATATATGCATATGCATGTACGGGTACATATGTTTGTATGCATGGATTTACGTTTATTTTCGCTCTATAAATGGTGTGTATTGAAACATGCTTGTTTATTTTTTTTATATGAAAATATTGATACTATTTGGTTCTTGTTGCAATTATTTTCATACCAAATTAGGAATAAAATAAATATTGCTTATCAGTGATCGTTAGTTTGATTATTAAAAATAGTAATTTGTCGTAAGAAGAATGCATGCCACAACACTTACCATCAATAAGAGTCCATATAAACAAAGGTGAAATACATTCTTGTGTTTTTGTGTGCTTGAATTCAGTCGAGTGATCTTATTTGTTGTTTAAAATTGGTTTTGTTTTATTGTTGTTCACATATTTTCTTCTGGTTCTGGTTACTTTCTCACCCTCTGTTTGTTCCATTTGACTTGATTTGACTTTCATCGTGAATTCAGCGCACACATCACTGTTGACAATTTAATTAAATAATTTAAACCTGTAACGAAAAACAAATTAAAAGTACATTTAAGTACGTCGACGTTCTTTTTTCGTAATGTCTGGTTGTTTTTAAATTGGTTCTTAAACTTTTTTAACCATAAAATTTGCATGTAATGGGTTCATTGTTGTGCAGCTAAATGGTTGAATGAGAGAAATCGAGTTTATCGAAAAATTGTAATTTGCCGAAAATTTGTGCGATTTAAAGATTAGTTTCCTGCTCTCAAGAAAAATCACAAGAGGTATTTTTCAGTATTTCTGTTCCTTAAAAAAGTAAATTCTTCTTCTTGGAGAGATGCATACATATACGAGCTGGAAACTGATCTAGAGAATTTTGATAGAAGTTTTTTTTTTTATTTTTTGGGCGTGTTTTTCAACCAAATTTGGTATATACATTGCGCTTAGGCTTCCTAAGCGTTTTATTGAAAATGTTGGAAATCGAGAAAAACCACGGGCTCCACCAACGTAACGGTAATTTCGAAAAACTCAAAGCTAGCTATATTTTAGGGGAAGTAGGGTCTGTCAAATATTCAAGACGGTAGTTAAGGAGGCTAAGCACAGTGTATATACTAGTGATGGGCGAGTCCGAGATGTTTTAGTCGATTGTCTCGATTGTTAAAATATCTCGATTGTTCTCGATGTTTTCTCTCGTAGACCCGAAAGTCGTGCTTAAGCTGAACTAACATATTCGTTAACAATCGACCAAGTCATCTCGGTCTCGCTGCTGGCCAGCGGTTGTTAAAACATCTCGATGGTTCTCTGTCGCAGACAGTGGCAACTAATTGCCAGTCGCGTTTAACATTCGATAAAAATCGGTCAAAACATCTCTGACTAGCCTGTGGAAATTTTGGCAACCTCTCATACGAGGTTTTGCATTTTCTTGACGTGCGGTTTTGTACTTTAAATGACGTAATGTATATTTTAGGATTTTTCGGCTGAAGCGGTTGCGGTTTTCTTCCATATAGAAGTAAATTATGTTTATTCGTTATATGAAAGCAAATGCAACAAGGAAAATTCAAAAAAAATCAACAGTAATTTTTGGCCATTTAAAACTTTATTATACTAAAATTGAAGGAGTTGAAATTCCCCACAAAAAACAGTCCATCCCCCGATTTCCCACGGAAACTGAAATTCCCAGCAAATCGAGAATTCCCCACGAATTGGCCCCCCTGGTTCACACGATCTCGTCAGTGATAAGTCAGTCGACTCGAAACAATCGAAAAACATCTCGATTGTACAGTGGGGCAGCGAGTCGATTATTGACTCGATTGTAATTTTGCAACGATGGCGATTCTCTCGATCGTTTAAACATCTCGGACTCGCCCGTCACTAGTGTATACCAAATTTGGTCGAGATCGGTCAAGTTGTTTTTGTGATACGCATATATCATATAAGTTGGCGGTGCCACCCCCATTTTCCTAAAATTTCTTAAAAAACCACTTCTTTGCTAAAGAACGATTGTATGTATATACATATCAATTATTGATGAATTTCTTAGCCACATTGCTCAAAAAATCTGAAAGTCCGGTACATAAAAAATATAAATTCAGGGACGTATTTATGAAACGTCGCCTAAGTTCGACAATTTTTGTGCGGTTGCAATAAATGAGCTATCAGTTAATTTAGAAATAGATTTAATTTTACATAGTACTACATATTTTGAAATTGTGGAGGTTGTCGATGGTCAAATTTAGAAAAAATTAGAGATATATGTGTTTTTTAATCTACCCGATAAAAGATCCCAACAAGCCAAGTCCGACAGTAGATTATTATATACCATCTTAAATGCCTATATATCTTCTTCTCAGAGTAGTCATTCAAAAACTCATTAATCTACAAAATCGTATTTTCTGACCTATATCAATAGGTCGCGACCTCTAAATGACCTTTAAAAAATCTATGAAAATAGGCAATAATATTTCTCATAAAAACGAAAAAAAAATTTTGGGGGTAGGGTCTTGAAATCTCAAAAAAAAGAAGCTTTTTCGATGGGCACTCTAATGTGCCTATATTATTTTTGCTTCTGGTACACAAATATCAAATTTCAGCTATTCTTCACTCAAGGAGAAGAGAGAAAGAAAAGTCTCAATCGCTTACTCACTCACTCACTTAAGCGAAATATGAAATTTCGACATTTGTGTGCCGAGGTCAAATCAAACCAGCTGTTCTAGTAACTCGACCTGCAGAAATCTTGTGGCAATTCTTAATTTCTCATTTGAGAGATTGATTAGAAGTTGCAATCTATATAAATTATATTCCCGAAATATGTATTTTGCCTGGAGTAGCCCAGTTGAGCAGCGCCAGTGCTGTCCTCTTTTTTCTACTCCAGAGCTGTTCTCTGTTCGTATTTGAACCTAGTGTCATGTGGTGCTTAGGCCCAATTGGGATTGTGGCCGCCGCTTTCATTCCTTGTGAACTGGATCTCATAGTAGATGGATACTCTTGTTGTTAGCTTTAGCTGGTTAATCCAAGATTGCATGAAGGTAAAATGGATAGGTGATTATTTTTTAACCAACCTTAGTTTTCCAACGTTCAGAGTAAATTGGAAATACACTCCAAATTGGTTCGAAAAAAATTAAAACCATAGTAAAAAGAGAGAAAGTGATATGCAGCCAATTCTCGAAGGGAAATTTAAGATAATCACTCTCTCACAATAAAATTTCAATTCGATAATGGGCTGGATTTCGAATTCATAACGAAGGGAAGATACAATGGATAACGGAGGTTCTGTTTTGCTAGAGAATGGCCTAGTTCTCGAATCGAATACTAACCTATTGCACATTCGGTATCGAAGGCGAGATTCGAAAAAAATATTGGGTTTCCAATCATTTTCCAATTGTTAACCAAGCCCAATGTTTACTGGGATACGATAAAATATACAGTAAATTTTTGGCGTAAGGTGATGCAGTGTGCAGTGTAGAACAAATTCACATCAAAGAATCAATTAAAAAAAAATACTCATACGATAGTCTCGCACAAATAGAAAAAAGCGAAAAAATAAAAATTAAATGCTAGATTAAGCTATAATTTCGATAGAAATCGATTACAAAATTCAAAACTGTTGATATCATTGCAAACGATTAATTGATTGCAATAAATTATCGATAAAAATCGTCAAACATACCGATACAAATCGGTAAGCATAAGGCTCAATAAAATATTAATTTAAAGTTAAGTCGGAAGCGGAATACACTCGAGAGATCTTCCTTTGAATGCTAGTTTTGGGCCGCTAGAACACTGGAGCGTTTTCCAAGCAAAGCTCGCAGCTGTAAAGGAAAGCGGCAGTATGGCTTACCAACTGTTCTCTTAATCTGCTTGCCGGAGCTATCTCTTTTCTCAGCCCAGCAGTTATTTGTTTGCTTATTTTTATTTTATTTTTTTTTCGTTTTTAAAATTAAATTTTCAGATTTTTTGCTTTAAGAGGATAAATATTGTTTTAGTGTCATTTAATTTTCAGAAACATATTTCCCACTTTTTTAATTTACTTTTTTCCCTTGTTTTAGTTTTTAGATTTTATTGTTTTCAACGGAAAAATATTAATTTTTAATTTAATTTAATTTTCAGAAACATACATAATTCTCAGTTTTTAATAGATTTTTTTAAATTAAATTTTCGTTGAATTTTTAGATTTTATTGTTAAAAAAAGAAAAAATTTTTTTTTTAATTTAATGTAATTTATAGAAACTTTTTTATTTTTTTAGTTTCATTAAATTTTTAGGAACTTTTATTATTTGTTTTAAATTCAAACTTTGGATTATGTTACTTTAAAAAGGGTTTTTTTTTTAATTTCATTTAAATTTTAATTTCATTTTAAATTTTGGGATCCTATGTTATTATATTTCTTTTTTTTTAATAAATTTCGTATTAAAAATTTTTAAATTTTTAGATTTTATTATTGTGTTAATTTAATTTAATTTATATAAACTTATTTTATTCATTTATTTTTCTTTTTTAATTCAATATTCTTCTAAATTTTAGTTTTTATTAAAAAAAAAAAATGTACACCTTTGTACATCTATTTAAATTTAATTGAATTTTTAGAAAACATCTTATTGCTGAAAGACGAACAGCAAAACGCTTACTGCCGGTTTCACGAAAGCAGTTTAAGTGAAAAACTACTATTTTTTTCTGTCAGTTTCCATATTAAATTCAAATAAAAAATGTAAATGTGCATTTCTTGCACGGTAGTACCCATTCTCAACTAAACTCGCCTAGTTTGTAGCCAATTTATATAAGCATTTTGAAAGCGGTACATACAATTAATTACTAGCAAACAAATCAATTAAAGCATCAAAGCATCAATCTTTGATTGATAGTGGATGCCTACGAAATGAAAATCACGCATTTGTATCACAAGAAAATTGTCCATGAAATTAATTGCTTAGCGAAAATGGAGCAAAAAAATATATTAAAAAATATTAGCAAATAAAAGTTTCAAATGAAACAGAAAATCAAAAAAGTTATGCATGAATATTTTATGCCTTCTTAAATCTTGCCCTTTGTATGTATGTAGATATATGTATGTACATAAGTTGCATGTTGAAATCACTTGCACCGCATGCAATTCACGCCATGCCAATTGCCCAGCTTGCCGTACGAATTTTATTTATATTTATATTTTTTAATTAATTTTTCGCTACGATTAATGAGTTCACTTTTGCTTTTCACCTCATTTCTATGCTAATATTCATTTTCTAATTTCCATTTCTCCTTTTCTTCGTTTTTACTTAGTTTATGGCTCGTAATTTATTTTCATTTAAGGCAGACTAATTTCGAATAATTTCGCCTCATTAACACAAGTGAACTTGTAAAAGAGTAGTGGTAGTGGTGGTTGTGCTAAAGAAGCTTGCAAAGGCACTTAAAGTCGATCAAAACGCCCCTTTTCTGTCGCTCTTTCCAGTCTTGCCGCCCCACACACCATTTGCATCATCGCAGCGGTACTCAAGTTACCTGCCTGTGCTTAGTTTTTTTTTGTTTTCTTTTCTTTTTTGTTTTGTTTTTTTTTTTATGTTTTGCACTCATCAAATATTCGAAAATTGCACTTCCGGCGACCGACAGCTTAGGGCTGTGACAAAATGACTGCGCGGCTTGTATTTATCATTCTTGTGGCCGGTATTTTTTGTTTGTGGTATGTTTTTGTTATTGTTTGATACTTTTGTTTTTTATTGCTTGCTTCCGTCACAAGCACTAACAATTGTGGCTTGTGGCAAAAGTGTAAAAAAAGAAAGGCACTGCTTAGTAGTCGACCACAAATTAGTCAAATTGAAAAGTGTAGAGGTTGCATAAAGAATAAAAAAAAAAAAACATACGCCAACGAGACCGACGATTCGCTGGTAATAAAAAAAAAAACAAACAAACTGAACTTTTGCAGAAAAAGTTTAGGTGTTGATGCAAATTAGTGTTCTATTTATTCAAAGTAGGGTGCAAAGTATACCTATAAAGGGGCGATTGGTTACACTGGAAAATATTTTTTTTTTTTTGTGACAAAATCTATCTCGAGAACGAGAACAGATTTGGCGATGGAGAATTTAGCAAAAATAATCTCTTTGGATAAAAAAAAATACTTTTACCTTTAAAACTACATTAAAAAAAGAATTTTTAAATTACTTTATATAATTTACTTTTTTGACCTAAAAATAGTACGCCATCAAAGTTTTAGAAAATTTTTCAGATAAGTTGTTGCTGTTCATTCGTCTAGTGTCATGATCGCAGCAACCGCAAAAATGTTTTTTTTATAAAATCCATAACATGCTGTTTCAGGTCAAAAATAAATACGAATTTTAATGAAAAAGTTATGCCAAATTTCTTTTCATGAGTAAAAGAATATTTTCCAAAGAACAAATTTCACACTAAAATTCTTGTCATGTAATATTTAGAGGAAATCCAGCATTAGTCATTAAAAAAAGGTTCGCTAATAAAAATAGAGAAGTTCATCATTGTATTTGTGGAAATCCAGCATTAGGTATAAACAAAATATTCGCTTATAAAAATGGAGAGGTTCCTCATGGTATTTTTTGAATGGCACAAAAATGTTTGTCACTAAATTTGTTGTGATTTAAAGTTCAGTGGAAATCCAGCATTAGGTATAAACCAAATATTCGCTTATAAAAATGGAGAGGTTCCTCATGGTGTTTTCTGAGTGGCACAAAAATGTTTGATACTTCACTGCGTAGTGGAAACTCAGCATTACAAAAATAAAAAAATTATAAATAAAATAACAATTTACAGTTTGATATCACCGTGCGACAGTAAATTTTATACATAAAAAAATGAATACATTCGCGAAGCTATGGGTAAATTATAGTAAAACTGCGTACTTAATTTTTCTTTCTGACGTCAGGATTTTTTTCAAAAAGACTTCGAAATTAAGAAAAAATGTGATTATTTCAAAAAATTATTATTTAAAAAATTCAGTGCTATATAGGATAAAAATAAGGGTATCATTATAACAGAATATATTTTTTGGTGCATAAGGACGAATGGGTATGGAATGTCCTTTAAAAAATTTTATCCTTAAATATCCTTGAAAATTTGCAATATTTTTTAATTTTTTTTAATTACAGTTTTGAGGACTAAT